TTCCCTTCCCTCTTTGCTCCAGTGTCACCTTCTCAGCCAGGTCTTCCCTGACCACCCTATTCACATTGCACCCCTACCACCCCTCCTGGGTTTCCCCCATATTACTCATCACCTAATGTGGTAGTAATTTACTAATATATTATGTTTATTGCCTGTCTCATTGTCCCATTAAAACACAAGCTCCACGAGAGCCAGTATTTTGACTATTTTTTGGTTTGTCTTTTACTCAATGGGCTCAATGGGTGCTCAACGGGTGTTGGTTTTCCCCCTCCCTACTCTCGGTCTGGCGTTTGTTTTGAAGTCAGACAGCTGGGAGGAGCCCTTCAGAGCTGCACATTCCCAGGTTTGTTTCTCTCTGCCCTAGAAATTGAGAGGAGGGGAGGTGAAGGACAGGTGCCCCTCAGAGAGAAGTAATCAGGGCATCCTGGTGGCCTGCAGACAATAGGGAGGGGGCAGGGACTGGGGCCAAGAAGGGAGGGATGTGAGCTGCTGGGGGGCTCAGCATCTCTCTGGTGCCTCGGTCGTCCAGATCACCTCGTTTCCACAGACCCCCATCCATCCTGCAGTCCAGAGTCTGTTCCAGAAGTTCTCTATGAGGTGGAAAGCTGGGTTCTTGGTAGATTCAGGATCTTTAGAAAGCAGGAGGTGCTCATGCAAATTTCTCAAATTTCTCCCTCCCAAACTTTCACCCAGACTTCCTTACTGAGGTCTCCAGGCCCCTGCCCCCATCCATGACTTCCTATCTCTGCCACCTTCCCTGCCTGTCTTATGGCTGAATGAAAAGGTAAGCACAGGTGGTAGTAGTCAGAGCAATTACCATTTGTTAAGCACCTACTATGGGCCTAGCACCTGATAAGCTCTTGCCATGCATTTACATGAATTCTCTTGCTTAATCCTCACAACAGCTTTATGAGGTAAGTGCTGACATCGTTCCCATTTTTCAGATGATGAAACTGAGGCTCAGCAAGGTTAATGAGTGTGTCTCAGGTTACACATTTAGTAAGTGGAAGAGCCAGGATTTGAACCCTGGCCTTTCTGGCTTTGTACCAGCCAAGGCACCTGTAAGAAACACTTTGGTGCCCTTGAAGGGCCTAACTGAAGAGAGTTTAGTAAAGGGATTATATACAGGACTGTGAGTGGGGCAGAGAAGGGTGAGCCTCGGGAGCCTATGGAGAAGATTTAGCACAGGCTCCAGAGGCTGTGCCAGGGACAGGCAGGGGCCCCTCCCTAGAAAGAAGAGGGTCACTCCCAGGAGAGCTCAGGAGACTCGAGACATGGCTGCTCCTCACGTGGTGTTCAAAAGGAAAGGCACGACACCGGCCAGCTACTCTCTCAGGAGCCCACCCCGCCCTGCCCTGGGCACTCAGAGATGGGCAAGCCCGGCTGCCTTCTCACCCTTCTCATCTCTGCCTCTCCCTCCTTCCAGGCACCAGCAAGCTCATCAATGGCAACCTCCGATTATACAGCTCTGTGGGGGACCTAAGGCCTGGGCATTATGGCCAGGACTTGCTCATCCCCCCGCCACCCCCGGGCCCAGCCCCGGCACCACCCCCAGACACTCTGCAGCCTCAAGAGGAGCCCTCACCACCACCTCCACCTTCCACGGCTCCCCCGCCTCCTCCGCTGCTGCTGGAACCCCCGTCCCCGCCCAACATGGCTCCACCTCTGCCCCCAGTAATGGGGGCCCTATCCACCGCACCCCGCCTTCCCTCCCCATCCACACCCCCCCCTCCGGACTTCATTCCCCCTGCCCCCCCGCTACCCCTTTTGCCAGCCCCGGCTCCCCCAGCTCCAGTGTCTCCTCGTACACCGGGGACTCACCCCTTCCCCGCTGAGGGTGTCACCAAGTGGAAATCAGAGGTAGCGCTGAGTGACAGGCAGCCAGAGGTCCCCAGAGGCAGCCCCCCCAGGAGCCCTGCTGAGCCCAAGGGGAGCCTCCTGGGACCGGAGACCCACCTCACCTTCCCCAGCTCGCTCAAGGTGCCTCCCCCAACCCCAGTCAGGACTTCATCCATCTCCTCTCAGGAAGCACAAGGGGCTCTTCCTGAGGAAGGAGAGGCCACCAAGAAGGCCCCCAGTAGACTCCCACTGCCTCCCAGCTTCCACATCCGCCCCGCGTCCCAGGTCTACCCGGACAGGGCCACTGAGCCAGACCATCCCGAGGAGCCCAGGGCTACGGCACCAGAACAAGAAAAAAACCCGAGCCCCCCCCCCCAGCCCCTCCCCTGCCCCCTCCTCCACTCCCACTCCCTCCCCCAGCACCCCCCCTGCCCCCAGCTGCCCCTCCTTTGCCATCTGCTGAGAAGGCAGCCCCTCCCCCAGCTGGGGTTATGAAAAGACCCAAGTCTAGCTCTCCTGCTCCCAAACTCAAACTTGACCCCCACAGCCCAGAGGACACAGCCTCTTCAGAGTCCGTGGACTGGTGGGATCCCAGCCAGATGGCAAAGCTGCGGAACGAGCTGTCAGCCTATCTCTGTGGCTCCAGGAGAGAGGACCGGTTTGCCAGTCATAGACCAGGCCCAACTGCATCCTCTCAGGGAAAGGAGAGCCAGAAGGGCCCCAGCCTGCCAGAGAAGGAGGCGCCCCCAAGTGTTCCTGAGGAGAGTCCTTGCAGCCAGCCAGAGAGGAAGGCTGCCACCAGCCTGACCCTCCCTCCTTTGGACTACATCCCCCAAGACTCGCCAACTCCTAGCATCTGGCAGATCCGGAATAAGTTGGAGGCCCAGCTTTCCTCATCCGCAGAGAAGGAAGCCAAGCCCAGCAGAGGGTCTCTGCCTCCCAAACCTCAGCTAGAAGGGGTAAGAATCTTTGAAAACAGGCCTGATAATGGCAGATTCTCCAAGCCCACGGCCAAGAATCTGCCACCTCTATCCACCACCCCTCTGCCAACCACACCACTCCAGTCCAGGGCCATGCCTGGACCAGCCATACCACCCAGGGCCACACCTGAGCCAGCCACACCTGGACCAGCCACACCACCCAAGGCCACACCTGAGCCAGCCACACCTGGACCAGCCACACCACTCAAGGCCACACCTCTGCCCACCACATCATCCCAACTGATAGCAGAGAAGAACCTAGTCCTAGCTGGGCAGTGGGAGAAGCCAGAACATCAAGAACTTGCAGTGCCCTCCAAGCCAGAGGCAGAAGGGTGCTCCTCAGAGACCAGTAAGCCTACACAGGGAGCCCTCTCATCTCCAGCCCTCCCTGCAAAGATATCCCCTGGCCGAGAAGAGGTGCCATTTCTCTATAAGCCCCATCGCAGCCAGAACAGCCCCAGCAGAGATGTGGCCGTGGTGACGCCCACCCTGTCCAGAGGAGAGGCTGCAGGGTCATGGGAACCTGTGGAGGTGAAGGAGCCCCACAGGCTGCCAGCCAAACCCCCTGCCTCAGCCCAGCCTGCTGAGGAACTCCTCAGGCATCCAGTGACAGGGGAGGTGGTGGAGCAGGGCTCCCCGATGGCTCTGCTCCTTGCAGCCAGGCAGAGGGCGCAGAAGGGGAGGTCCAGAGGAGCTTCCCTGGGCCAGTCCTCCCTGCCAGGGTGTCTCCGTGGCCACAGCCAGCCCGGGGCAGGCTCTGACAGCATTTTCTACAACGACGGCCAGCCCAACTCCTTCACAGTGGTCCCCAAGGTACCCGAGGAGACTGCGAAGGACCCCCAGCTAACCTCGCCAGGACAGCCCAAGGTACCCAGTCAGTGGAAGCCCCAGCCCCGCAGAGACCCAGAGGGCACGGAGCGCAGCCGCGTGTACAGCTGGACAAAGACGGAGCCGCAGGCCCCCGTGGCCTGGGAAAGACCAGCGCCCTCCAGCCTCCCCCAGGGCCGCCTGCTGCCCAAGTCCTCCTCTTCCCCTCCTTCTCCTTCCCGCGAGAGTGGGGAGGAGTTCAACTTTGAGGTCATCCCACCGCCGCCAGAATTCAGCAATTACCCCGAGCCCCCGCCCCGCGGCCTGCAGTATCTGGGGCGCCGGGGCTCCCCTCCCCGGAACAACTCAGGCTTGGGGCAGCTCGCGGACGCGGGCCCCGCTCGCGGCTCCTCGCGCTTTTCCGCGAGTGCGGGCCCCGCCGGGGCCGCCAGGGGCCTGGGCCATTTCTCGGGCGGGGGCCGTTCGCTTATCAAGAAGCGCCTGTACGTCGTCGGGGAGGCCCACCGCAGCCCCAGGATGCCCCGAGGCAGCACTGGCCGCAGCCCGACCTCCCCTAGCTGCTTCGGGCCGCCGCCTAGAGGGCCCTTCGCAGCGCCCGGAGGCCCGGAGATGCGGCGCGTCAACTCGACGGACCGCGCGCCCCCCGCCGGCCTGCACGCGCGGAATATGCCCCTGGAGGGCGCCCCCCGCGGAGAGGCCAAGTACAAAGCGACCGGCGGCGGCGGCGGCGGCGGCATCAACTGCGGCAACTGCGGCGACTGCGGCTGCGCCCCGGCTACCCGCAGGTGAGTTGCGGGCCAGGGTGATGGCGGGAGCCTGGGCTGGGAAGCCAGGGGAGAGGGAGGCTCTCCCCTGGACCGCGGGGGAGCTGGCCAGGCCACGGCCATCAGTCTGGGACCTTTGGTTTTCTCCCCTCTGGCTCTCAGGGCAGAGAGAAGGGGGAGGGAGGCACACTTCACCTGGAGAGGGCGCCTTTGGCGCTTCCTTTATCTGCTTCCTCATCTCCCGTTATCTCCTTTGTTTTCTCTTTCCCCCTCCTCCTGCTTTCCCCACCAGCTCCCTCTTCTGTCTCCTCTCTCCCACTCCCTGGAGCCCCAGCGTGGGGTGGGGGGAGACCTGAGTGGTCCTTGGGTGCTGGGATTTCCCATCACAGAGATGCGTCCAGAGCCAGGCTAGGAGGGACGGTTCTGAGCAGAAGGGTATGAGGCATGTACTCTGGCATCAGGGCCTAGACAGGAGGGAAGCCCTGTGTCTGGTGAGTCAATACGGGGGTCCCACTCTGGGGATGGTAAGCCCTGAGCTTGTAGGGCAGCTCCATCGCACTGAGCCACATCCTTCCTCTTGTGCCCTGGGGGAGATGGAAGGGGTGTTGGTTAACCAGATATTAACCTCATCTCTCTCCTGCTCCCCACCAGGTCTCCCCACAGCAACCCCCACTATGGAAGCTCCATCAACACATTCACCGTGAGGCCCGGGACTCACCATCCCATCTCCTATGCCTACTCGGGGGCCCATCGGAAGTCCCCTTCCTGAGCCCAGGGTTTTCTCAGTTCCTCTCCAAGGGGTCGGATCCAGGCACTTGTTTTTGTGGGAGTGGGAGGGACGCAGCAGGTGTTAAGTAGCCTCACTGAGACCCAGAGGAGTCTGTTTCCCAAAGACAGACAGGGGGACAATGAGTGAACCAGTGGCCCCAGGAAGAGTAAGATTGAACTTCTGTTTCCCAAAGCACTGGTGTGGCTGTGGACTGTCAGCAGATGGGGGTGGGAGGGGGAAGGAGGGAGGAGAGGAGGAGGGACCTTTAAGGAGCTGGAGCCTGAGTTTCCACTGTCTGGTACTACTTGCTTTAGCAAGGCTTATTGAAAGCAGTTTTCCAAGCAAGCCTACTGAGCAGGTTCTAAAAGCAAGGGTTGGAGCGCTCGCTCAGAAGGGAACCCGTCGGGATGGCTGTGATTGCTGGTCAGGCCCTCATGAGGGGCTGAGGCCCAGCCCTGTCTGGGTTGGGGGTGCAGGGTGCTACAGGTTGACCTCCTCATCCTCCACCAGTCCACCAGTTGCCACTCCCAGAGGCGACACCTGGGGTTCGTAGCATAGAAGCCACATTGAGGTGTGAGCAGGAATATGCATACATAACATGTAGAGAAGGTACTGGAACAAAGTGCTTTGCATTGACCCAAGGGTGGGGATAGGGGTTCTGGTGGTTCATTTCTCCCTGGCCCTGAGCTACAGGAAGGCCTAGAGAGAGAAGATGTGGCAGGTTTGGGATGGAAGACAGAGGATTAAGGTTTGCTTTGCTATTCAGACCCAGGCAGCCATGATTTGGGGGATCGGGCCCAAGGAGCCAGAAAGCCTGGGGCTTGACACCAATGGCCTTACATGGCCAGGTCCTGTATGGGATTAGGAGGGGCATCATTCCCAACCACCCCTCCCAACCCCAATACTACAGGTCTCCAATATTACTGAGGCCTTAGAATGTGTAACCAAGATGCCAGAAGGCCTTGTAGAGTAGAATGTGACAGAGATGGGAATAGAGGTCTGAGAGGAGTTTGCTGCAAGTATGGAACGTGTTTTGGAAAGTCAAGAGTGGCAGGACTGGGCCAGTTCAGAGCAGGGGAGCCCTATCAGTAGGGTGACCATTTGTACTTTGCTGGGAAGTCTGGGTTTATGCCTGTTTTCCAGTGAGTGAGAACCCCTTCCACTTTCAAAAAAGTCCTGGTTTAGATAATATATGGTCACCAGGCATCAGGAAACAATATTCTTTGGTCAATCTTCTGTCTTCGGGTCTTGGTGGTCCGAATTCCTGGGGCCAGGCCACGGAAGGCTACCTGGGTAAGGAGGAGGGGCAGGGGGTGCCCACCTCAGAGGAGCAGGCTGGTAGGGGCAGCCAGAAGCAGTTCCCTTTGGGGGCACGATGATGGACCTCTATGATTTGTGCTAACCAGCCAGGGTACTGGGGTGTGGGGATAGCAGATGACCACTTCAGGGAAAGAATGCAGGGGTGGGTGGGCACCCTGATGGGGCAGGATCTGGTTACCTGTGTCTAAGAAGCGAACCCCACCCCAGTGCCAGCACTGGCTCTATATATATGTATGTATTTTCCCTGTACAATGTTTTATAAAAGAGTTCACTAATTTATCTGCTGTGTTAAGGCTTGAGGGGTGGGGTGTGGATTCCCAACTGTATCTTGCTCTGGGGTGGGCAGGGAAGGACTGATTAGCTCTTGGCTTGGGAAATAAACAGGCCAGTTTGGATGGCCTCCAGCTCTGTGGCTATGGATTGATGACTGGGAGCTACTGGGGTATGATCAGAGGTTGGGGGAGCTCAGCGGGGGAAGGCTGAGCACAGGGTGGTGGCTGAACTGGAGCCATTATGCTGGACCCAACTCTCTCTCTGACCCTTAGGTCTTCTCATTCTCCAAGTCCTTCAAGGGGAAGGAGCAGAGCTGAAGTCTGGTGATAACAAACTGTGCCCTTAAGCAAGTCTCTGACTCTCTGAACCTCAGTTTCTTCTGTACAGTGAGTGTGATAACCTACCTCATAAGGCTGTTGTGAAGACTAGAGACAGTCATGCGTTCATTTAACAAGGATTTGAGTGACTACTAGATGGCAGGCACTGTGCTTAGCACGGATATACAGCCATCAACACACTGACACGCCTCCTGCCCATGGCAAGACAGTAGTCTCGTGGAGGAGAGAGGATGGAAGGAACGCACAGAAACAGCCTCTATTATAATAAGCGATAGGAAGGGAAGGAACAGAGACTATGAGAATAACTAGAGGGTGGGAGAGAGAGGTGGATTTACTTTGACTGGCTGGTCAGGGGAGGCCTCTTGAAGGGGTGACGTTTATGCCGATTTAGGCCAAGCATCCAGCACGTGTCTGGTACTCAGGAGTCGCTCAGGAAACTGCATCTTTGGGTGATGACTACCTTACGTTTGCATGTGGCCCTTCACGGTTTTCCGTAAAGCTTTGACGTGGCATCTTTAAATTTCCCAGAAGAGGAAACTGAGAACCAGAGGTCATCTCAAGACAGTGTGAGGGAGAGAGTATGTTCCTTGTGTTTTCTGTGTCTGAGCCTTTTGTGGGGGGTTGTTGGGAAAGGGAGGCTGGGAGGACGACTCACTTATTCGGCAACTTGTGCTTCCAGGAAGGGCCTCCCTCTCCCATCCTGGGGCTCCCTGTTCTGTCTCTCAGTGTCCCCTGCCCTGTACTGCGAGGCCCTCATCTGGTAACAGTGAGGACAGGGGCCCTGCCTCTGGCTGCTCCTCCGCCCCCAGCCCCACCCCTGTTCCCTCCTAACTCTTCTTTCCCCTTGCCTGACAAGGAAGGGGCAGCGGGGTCCCACATCTGGCCTTGCCTCTGACAAGCTGTGTGACCTTGGGTCTCGGCTATCTCATCTCAAAAGTGATGGGACGGGGCTTCCCTGGTGGCGCAGTGGTTGGGAGTCTGCCTGCCGATGCAGGGGACACGGGTTCGTGCCCCGGTCCGGGAGGATCCCACGTGCCGTGGAGCGGCTGGG